AAGTACGGGTGTGTGAGGGTTTTGGCGGGAAAACTGCTAACTCGGTAACCAGAAAAGCTGGAAGGCTGAAATTTTGAGGGATTGTTCCCTGTTCAAGTACAACACAAACGCTTCAAATTCAGTCCCAAGCTATGTGTGGTGCTCACGTAAGGGCGTAAGAAAGTTTCTGCGGGAAAATTTCAACTCGACAACCAGAAAAGCTAGAAAGTTGAAGTTTTAGGGGGATGTTTCCTGTCTTAGTACAACTTAAGTATTTCAAATTCAGCCTTGAGGTATGCGTGGTTCTTACGTACGGGCACGTAAAAGTCTTGACGAAAAAAGTTCCTCACTGAACAACTAGGTTACTTTTAAAGAACGACTGTTAAATGGAAATTGTACGTTTGCCCTGCAAAATTTATGGTGATTTATACTAATGACCGCAAAAGTTAGGTGTAAAGGAACAGCCATTCCTACAGTTAATGACCTGAGTAATTCAAGTCCGGTGCAAAAACGCATCATCGCACGGGCCCGCCTGGTGCGTTCCAGCTTGGGTTGCTTATATGCAAATGCAAAAACGCATATTGTGAAGACCCTTGTATACGTGTGTGTGTCTGTCTGTCTGTCTGTCTGTCTGTCTATCTGTCTGTCTGTCTGTGTATTTCAACTCGGCACTCAAGCAAGCTCCGGCTCCAAAATCTTGCCAGTGGCTTCCCTGGCCAAGTGCCACCTCAGAACTGCGGTACCAACCCTCACGCAAGTCTGGGCTCCGCGTACGAGAGGATAAAAGTTTTGGTGGGGAAATCGCTAACGCAGGAACCAGAAAATCTAGAAAGCAGAAATTCTGAGGTTATGTTTCCCGTCCACACAGAACTCAAAGATTTCATATTCAGCCTCCAGGTGTTCATGATTCCCGCGCATGGCCCCATGAGGGTTCCTGGCGCGAAAATCGCTAACTTGGGAACCGGGAAAGCTGGGAGGCTGAAATTTTTAGAGAATGTTCCTAGCACATGTACAGCTTAAATTTATCGAATTTAGCCCCGTGTATGCGTGGTTATCACGTCTGGCTCCGTGAAAGTTTTTGGCGCGAAAATGGCTAACTCCGGAACCAGGAAGACTGGGGAGCTGAAATTTTCAGAGAATGTTCCCAGCACAAGTACAACTTATAATTATCAAATTCAGCCCTTCAATGTGTGCGATACTTATTTACAGCCCCGTGAAAGTTTTTGGCAGGGAAATTGCTAACCCAAGAACCAGAAAAGTTGGAAAGCTGAAATTTGAACAGGATGTTCCCTGTCCAAACACTGCATAACTATTAGCTTCCCGGACTTCGAGGACTAATTTATCACACATTTCTCTCAGCTGGGTTCCGAGCGATCTCATTGCAGCACGAAATGCTGCAAAAACACATGATCGCACAGGCCCACTCGGTGCGCGCTGCCAATGATTATAAATTGTTTTGGGAGTTGAGATTTGCAAGATTAGGAAACTGTAATTTACGAAACATGTTTAAATTTGGACTTGAGATCATAAGTCTAGAAGAGCATAAGAACTGATTTCATGCTTTTTATGCGTTTTTGCTGTGCAAAAAAATTAGCACTGCTGCAGCGAGTAAAAACGCATATTGACGAGATCTCATCTGTGCGTGTTTGTGTGTGTTTGGAAACGATTGAACTTTGCCACACACTTTCATCTCAGTAGCCAGGAAAGCTGGGAGGCTGAAATTTTGGGTGTGTTTTCCTACCCCGTTTTAAAATTTTCGCTCATACGCGTCTGGATCTCGTGTGCGAACTCCCCAAAAAAACACGCAAATTTCACTGGCGGAAAACGACTTCGGGACCTGACAGGATGGAAAGCTAAAAATTTGCAGTGATATTCTTTGTACATTTGCGACCTAAAAATCACAAATTCAGCTGTCGCAGACGCTTCTGCAGCGCGTACGACCACGCCAGAGTTTGCAAGTTGGTACTGTGCTAACTCGAAAACTTGCCGGAAAAAAGTGGGGCGAAATTTTGTCAGCATGTTTATCGCCGATACGGAAAAGCGTATACCTGAAATGAGTACCGACTTGCACTTGCGCTACGACTTGAGGCACCTCAAAGATATTTGTAGCGAAGTGGCTATTATGCTTACCGGATAACGTGAAAAGCTGAAACTTCGCTGGAATATTCCACTTTCAAGTGCGGTCTTAACTCTGCTTGTGTGAAATCCCTTGCAGGTGGGCATGAGAAATACTTAACCTTACCGGAAAACCAGAAACGAGTGCATTTTGCAGCGAACGACCGCCCTCATCCTTTCCCAACATGTAAACTCATTTGCATATTTGGATTTATCGACGAACGACTGCTTCAGCAACATTTCCACTTTTCAGTGAACTGGAAATTTGCATTTTTTCGAAGAGCAAGCATTTACCAGAAAAACGTCGGGCTTCATGGAAAAAACTGATGTACCTGGAGGTCCACGCTGTCCTATAATGCAACATCTTCATCCCAACCGACGCTCTTCCTAGTGCATGCCGAAAGAGACCGAAGCACGGCCAATATGAGCACAAGTGTTAGGTTACAGCGCAGGGTTCATAACTGCTTTTAGCGATCTGCAAGTTTAGTGCAAAAACATGTGATCGCATCGGGAAGCCTGGTGCGTTTCAGCCTAGGTTATTTCACACTCTCTGGTGGAATTAATCTGTGGAAATTTCCAGCTTTTGTTCTTCCCTTCTTTTCGGGTTATGGATTTTTCATGAATTTGATGCTAAAGTCATGGATCAATGTACTAGCAGGGCTTTTTAAGGCTCTTGTTATGATGTTCATTCAAATCATTTAATGAATTAATATGTTAAATTTTTTAACCGGTATTAATGGTTGCGATGTTAATAAATTTCGACCTGAGGTCATAAATCTGAACACACTGGACAGTGTTCCGAGCTGAAACAAGACGAATCTATCAAAATTTAGAGCTTATGGCTTTCACAGTTTTCTAGGTATAAAATTAGCCAAAAGTTAGTCATGAAGTCACAAATCGAGTCACAGCAAAGATTGGAAACGTTTTTAAGCTGTTTGCTCTGGCTAACAAACAGAGTTAATCTCAAAAAGTTTCTAATTTGAAAACTGTCTTAATTCCGGAATTCCAAAATTCGTACGAGCATGCACACGAGTTTTGCAGGTCGGAACACAGAATGACATGTGAATTGAGCCTAGGTTTGCCTCTTTGCACAAGGTCGGGCACAGTATCCCAAAATTTCAGCTTCCTAGCTTTCCTATACTTGTGGCTGAAATGTGGCTTCAGAGCATACATAAAAAGACGTACATACGTACATGTACGTGCATATTTAACGCGTTTTTACTTGTATAAATGCAAAAAAGCATGAAAACGATCTAACATCAAAACTCCTTAATAAAAGAAGGCTTATGTTTAAAATTTTTGCATTTTTCGTGTGATTAATCAGTTAAAAGGACTGTCTGACGAACTCTAGTTTGTACTGCTTCATTCAATTTCTGATTATATGCAAAAGTTTATTGTAGCAAAGATGCATAAGTACATTGGTAGAAACTGGGAGCTGAAGCTCTTTAGCGGAATTCATATGAGCTTAGCGAAGTCAGATCACCGCAGCTCCAGTCAGCTGAACTTAGTTTAGCGAAATCTGATTCACTTCAGTTTGTCCCGTTTAAGCATAGTCAAGAGTAAACGAATTCTGGCGTGCAGTCAGCGATCAATTATTCAAAATGCATAAACCCTTGGGGCACTTCCCGTTCGCTCTCTTCCGTGTTTGGGAGTGGAGTGTGGAGCCGCCTTCCTCCTTTTAAAATGTGGATGGCTTGAGCAGTTCAGAGACTCCGCCCGTCTTTTTATTTTTTAGGTCTTATCAAGCCGAACCAAGCAGCAGCCGCTGGGAAAATTTTGGCAACGAAGGAAATTTTTCCCCCCTCCTTGCTACTTAACAATCGTTTCCTTACACAGTGCCACATATGAGGTGGGAACAATTCCGGATATTGCCCTTTGGAATGCATGGCCTTTTCTGCTTTTGCCAGCTTATCTGCCTCTACTGTGCACTGGTATGTGAGTGCGTGTGTTTGTGTGTGATTGAGTATGCATGTGTGTATGTACATGTTTGTGTGTGTACGTATGTGTATGATAATTCTATATAATTTACAAGTTTGCGTGTCAGCTGCTCAGTCTTTCTGCACCTTTCAACAAAAACCACAGCAGGCGAAAACAGCAGTTGATTACGGCTTGCTATAGACTGCGCAGGTAGAATTTTTTTGTGCGAGTTAAGCTGATAAGATTATGCGTATACATACATCCGTATGTGAATGATGTTCTGGATTATTCAATTTACAGCCTGTGGAAGCTATTTCGGAAACACAATCCTTGAGCGTGTAAGCTTGCAATTGGCAAACTTCGTAACCTCCAGGCCCGGCTTTCGGACGGGATCTTGGTTGCGCCACCGAATGACCGTTACATTTTTGAAGCTAAATCATAGTCGTTTTATGTCATCAGCTGGAGTGCTTTTGAATTAACTTGAAATCGTGCGTTAGAAAAACTAGTCACCGCTAAAATGATTCATTAGTTTAGGACATCAGAAATGCTGCCATATATCTCGGGATTCAGTGTGCGTCAAAAGCGAAAAATTTTTGGACGCTTAGAAATGCTAATTATTATTTTTGTAATTGCTGTGGAGAGCCTTACAGATTAACATAAAAACGGGCCACTGATTGATCCAGGACTTCGATGTTTGTGGTTGTAGTTGTCCCACAACACTTGAGAGCCGACAGACAGCAAAGTGACGACTCGTTAACATGTACCAGTGAGTATGTTTTGAAGGGTCTAACAGCATCCTGAACGACGTCTGCAGCAGCCAGTTCATTCCTGCGCTACAGCGAATCGTTATCCGCGGTTCGTACGGATGAGAGAAACTCGTGCCGCGATATTAAAACAGCGGAAGCTTCTTCGCTGGATATTGTCGGTGCAGCTGAAAGAACTGTTTGGCTCACTGCATCATCTGATATATCTGTACTAATCACTGATAACTACAACGGTGGCATCCCCATTGGCCGTTTCCGGGAAGCTACGCCATCTGAACCAGGCATCGGCAGCATTGCAAACGGTGACGTTTCGGCCGCAGCGGCAGCCGTATGTGCTCGGAACAGCAGCAACAGTTGTATGCTCTCATCCAATCGCTCGCAAACTCGTACTCCTAGCAGCTCCAGACGCGATACGGCGACAGGGCGTTCCGCGCTCATCCCCGATACACTTGTGCTACAGCGGGAGTCTTCAAACCATCCTGTAGCTGAAGAGCGTATTGGTATTCGGCTACCCTTGCTGAACAAGCCAGATTTCGGTAATAGG